GAACTGTTCAGACAGCTCGGACCATCTGAATGACTGATTACACCGAACCCATTGAACTCGACGAAAGCGAGCCGACAAAAAAGGAAGAAGAGACGTCTAGCGATTTGCGTTCGTGGTAATCACCGGTGCGTGATTGGAAATTAGATTAGTCACGTTGCGACAACCTTATATAGTCTACCATATTGTTACTACTCATTCTCTTCTACAACCTTTATATTCTAATTATTGTTCATTTACTTTACATATCTATTTATCGATTTTGCAAATGTTTGTAAAATAAATACGTGCAATATCGGTCGTACCAGAATATCAAATTATAACGTTACAAATTTCACGAGAATCTGTATTTATTGTAAGCAAATTGACTCAAGCTTATTTTATTAAACTGTTTGATTTATTAAACAGTGTGTAGTTAAATTTGTGTTTATACGAATTATGTATTAGAGCAGGTTAACGAACGTGTAATATATTGAATTTATATATCAATAAAAATTACAGGTTATGTTAGACAGGTTATGTTATTGCCACAATAAATTCGTGGTAATAAACACGTACAAATAAACGTGTAGTACATTGAATTTATATATCAATAAAATTTGTAGGTTATATCAGATAGGTTAAGATACGATAAATTCAACATAAACACAACTTATGAATTGATTAAACTGATAAAACAAGACAAGACAAGCAAAGAGAAAACATATAAAGCTAGTGAAATTGTCGATAAAACTTTTTCTGAATAAGATTCTCTAAGGAGCGAAACAGGTGTTGATTAATGGAGCCCGCCATTTTAAAGGCCATCGAATTTCAAACGGAGCCAATCGAAAGTCTTTCAACAAATGGTCGATACGGAATGAAAAATACGCAGGACGAGATAAGCCAGCATTAAATTCGTGCCAAATGCCACGGCACGTTGAAGTTCTTTTCGACTGGGAGCGATAAGGGATATAATTCCGGTGTTCGTCGTTGGCGAAGAACGTTGTGCTCAGCTGGAAGCGGAAGTGCGCCGGCTCAACGTCGTTCGCCAACGACTGGCCAAACAACCCCCGGTCTAAAGCTACGACCTCTACCGCGTGTTCTCCCTCTATCGCCGGCTTTTCCAGCTAACCCGGGAAACCGTAACTTGCCGCGAACCTTAGCGTCTAAGATTTGTGGTAACATCGACAACACACGGTGGCCCCAATTTACTGCGCATTACGCTGCTTTTCTCGGTTGTTTCTCCTTCATAGAAATTTCCCTTCTTCGCCCTTTTCGTCCCACCGATCCGCTTCTATCCGCTGCTGTTCGATCGTTTCGCGGAGTTTGTGCGACGAAACGAGTTCCTTGTTAAACTCCTTCTACCCGCTCCTCTTCCGCGGAAAATCTCTTTCCGTCGTATCGGGAGGTTGTATAAAAAAGATTGAATTACCATTCTGTTTCCCTCGTGTTCCCGTAACGGTCTCTTCCCAGAAACTTTGACAAAAGTAGTTCACCGTGGATGTTCGAGAGACACTTTGTTTATAAGGTCTGTCTAGGTGTTTCCGTTTAACAAGATCGATGCTATAACCATCAAGAGGATTGTTCAACCCCTTCCTTTCAATAGTGAATATATTGTTGAAAATCTTAAAAAAATTATCTTTTTATTCTTAGATAATTTGAACGACAGTTTTTGAACACATTTTCTATCGAATTTAACTGTGCACATGTGGGTGAAAATTACTAGGTTGATTGTAATAAATAAGGATCTCAAAATTTAATATTTAACAATTTCATTCGTAATGTTATATCTTCCAATTAAATAAAGCAATTCAACAAACCAATTAAATAACCAATGAACCTTTTCACATAGATGTAATCTCAGAAAAATTTTGTAACGAATTTAAAACTGTATCAAGATTAAAGCCGACATTTTTGTATTTGCCGCTTCGTAGATAAATTAATTTATATCAGCAATTTGATCGGGACACGTCGAGGAATAATTATAGCCGGATTACACGGATTCGAAGATAACGAGGGAAATCGTCCGCGCCCTAACAACCGTGAGAAATTTTTAACCGCTGATCATCGAAGGACACCGCCGCAAACGTGATTCCTTCGTCCGCCTCGGGGATGCCGCGCATCCTATAATTACGCACTGTCCACGATGCTTATTATCCCGATATTGTGTCGAGTGTATAATAGGATTACCGATCTATCCTGCATAAATATTAATTGCGCAGGATTCGCCGCGGCGACGTAAGTGGCGGCCGTAAATTGCTGGCCACCGCCTCCCCTTACCCGCGCGTATAAATCTTCGTCGATGGAGGAAGAAAACGGGAGGAAAAAAAAAAGAGAGGAAGGGGTTGGTACTCGAAGCAGTCTAAGCGAAGTGGCTCCCTGACGGTGTCCCAGGTGGTCTACGGGGTTGCTGTGTTCCGCTCGAGTAAGACGTACTTCTAGACCTGTCGAGAATAAACGTCTTCTCTGACGCAGGCTAAAATACATGGTAAACTCCTGTACGATATGCCGGGCAATGGAGATGCAACCCCGTTGAAAATATTGAAGAGCAAACGGTCTAACGGAATTGGGGCAATAGCCCCAAATTCGTAATAACGAAGGCAACGATAATTCTGTGAAATTCCTTGTTTTCCTTCTTATGTAACTAGAAATTGTGTTCATTCTATTCTCGTATATTTTCTTATAATTCATATACTATCTCCTTTTTATAACGTGTGGAAATGTTATTTTAGGCATTTTGTTTAATACCCTAAGGGTTCATTCTTGGACTAACAATAAGACATTCGATTTAACTCCTGTTGAAATTTGAACAGTGATTGCACTGTTGGAAATAATAGTTCTTGAAAAGCATCTGTGAATCCAAAGTGATAACACATAAGAAAACTCAGCATCTTGAAGGAGAAATATCGAGCGTGTAGTTATGCCAATAGTCGTCCTAGTATAGCAGGGGAGATTTTTCAGAATCACGGCCAATCGCGGCGAATAAATAAAAGATAAAGCCGCCTTCTGCTAGAAACTCTCACGTCACGATCATTCTCCGGTCCTTTATCTACCTGCTGCCATTTTTCTCCAGCCGTTTCCGTTCCCGTGGCGGAATCAAAGACGGGTCCAAAGCCGTCTGAGCCGTCGATCGCACGCCACACAATGCCAAGAGATTTTGATTTATCTATCGTTCGAGTATCCGCGGTTTTTGCGCGTGGAACGGGGTCGCACAAACACGAGTTCCATCGAGTGCCTCGAGGGTAGCTACGCGGCTCGAACTCCGAAGTAACAGAGAGGGGTCGTGTAGGAGCGAAACGCGGGAACGACGATGGTTGCGTGGATTAGGCGCACCGAAGTGTGTGATAATCGCGAAGGAATAGAGAGAAACTCTTCTCTCCCCTTTGGTGTTCTTCCACGACCCTTCAGAACTCGAAATCGCTCTCGAGACTGCCGCTCGTTAATGCTCGGTTCCGCTTCGACGTGTGTGCAACACGCGGTTCCGAAACTTCGGCTTCGCTGCTTTACGCAACCAACCGGATCTCCACCCTTTTGCGGGACCGTCTCACCTGACATACAACCCCCTTCGTTTTGTTGAAAAATTTCAAACTCGCCGGAATACCATCGTTACGAGTTATCCAACTTTTTGAGAACGAATCATGAGATAAAGTAATTTATTCTCCAACATTTGGGACTTTACACATTTTAGGTAGATAAAGAAATTTATAATGAACCCTGGGGGAGATGAAGTTTATCTTGTTAGAATTTGTTCTTCAGTTTATTAGTATTTCATGGGCTGTGAAAATGTACAGAATATCTCATAAATATTTCATAAAAGAATTTATGTTCGATGAAAATACAAATGCTAATAAACATTATCAAACTTATAAACCCAAACATATCTCAAACAAATAAAATTATGTACAAGCATTCAATATATTTTATACGTTATAGTAAAGGAATATATTAATTTGATCTATTGTTTGTCTCCACGACTCATCCCCTATTCTGTAACTACAGCGTGCTTTTGTAATAAAAAAAATCGAAAATTATTTCAAATTAAAAATTAACAAGTAATATTTTGATGAGGTGTCAAATATAATATTTAAACGAAATAACTAACAGAGGGATGATAATACCTAAAGCAATAAACAAAAATGTACAAATTGCCCGTGAGTATAAAAATGGATTTTCAGCGAGTCAACATTTGTCCCAATACATTTCCCAAATATTTAACCGCACTGTAACCCTCTGCTAATGGCTGTTTGGCCTCTAATTACATCGTAACCCCGACAAACGCATCGTCGATTCTTCCCGCAACAATATCACTTCACGCGTGGCTTCTCCTAAATCGATTAACACAGAGAACGAGTTAATTCTCGGTCCTGCGCTGCGTACACAGTTGGTCTCCTAAACCGTCTATCCTGTCGACGGTCCTCGTTCCTTTCGTGAGGGTCTTTCGAGGGTTCGAAGGGACAATCTTCCACGACAGTACGACATAGCGGAGCACCAATGTACACAAGATCCTGAGCTACTTTCGTCCGCTTTATTAAACACATCGTGTTTGCATTCTGATAAACGTTTGACCCATCCTTAAACGGTCGTCGAATCGCGGTTTCGCCAAACTGGATGTGCAATGTTTATCCGCTTAAAAACCCACGCTTCGTTGCTATAACACGGTTCTGCGTTCATGTTTGCGATAAATCTGTCTCCCTCGAGTCTCTAAAGCATGAAAATCAATTCTCGCGACGGTCGTTGATTTTTCGACGGAGCTTGTCAAACACGTCCTCGGTGCTAATTATCCTGGCGAAAAGTGCCGCGTACGAGCATCGCTTTGTCCGAATACCATTCGCGTGGAAACATTTCGCGTTCACGTAGATTTTTCAGCAGCTCCGAACACAAGCACGGTCGTGCAGCGCGTAAATATTCGCACGCGCTCCTCGCACGAGGAGGCTTAATTGGCACAAGGACAGAACGGAGGCCCGAGGACAGGTCTTTCGCCAGGAATCGACGCACGCTGAAATCGTAAATACTTTCTCACTCACCTATATTTCGCGCTGCGACGGTGCAACCGCTGGTTAGGAGCCACGCAAACACCAGGCCACTGAGTAGACCTTTCCGTCGACCCTTGCGGCACTCCATCGTGAAGTTCCGAGCTCCGACTACGCCTGCAAACAAACCAACGGACATCGTTAGAGGTGAGAGTAATTGCTACCGCGAGTACGTACACCGCCGATGCTTTTTTTCTGCTCTTATCGAGTACGGCTACTTTCTTCCACTCGTTAGAATAACGATTCGATCCGAGATGAAAGTTATTGCGAATGGATCGAGAGAAGAAACTAAATTACGACCGAGGGGCAAGTTGCATTATTAACCGATTTGATTTGTCTTCGTCAAGATGATCGTACATTGATTGCAACCTTCTCTTTCGTAGATTACTCTCGGATGCGATTAACACTTTCATATTTGATTTTTTACGTCATTATTCTTTATCTCAATTTACCTACCGTTAGATATAAATTACAGTTCTTTGGCGCTTAGAAACGTTCAAGAATCTCAGAATGCCTTGAGGGATGCAATCAATTTTACTTACAAATTTTTATGCAATTTAAATCTCTTAAGTGCAATTTCCATATTTTCTCTTTACACGGAAAAATTAATAGTAGTCGTTCGCACAAATTTTAACATTGATGATAATGTAATAATAAAATAACACATGACATGGTTTAATAAATACGTCAACCCTTAAGCTTCAAACCCAGAAACCCCAAACAAAATATTAATACCAAAAAAAGGGAATAAGTGTAGTAGATCCTTCCTAAATTCCCTTGATCCATCCGGATCATCTCGCACCCCCTTACACGCAGCATGTTTACGCGTGTCCGACATAGCGCATCACTTTTTTTTGCCGAAATTTAAACTCGGTGTCAGCCACCCTCGTGAAATCCCTTTGTCGCGTGGCATTACCGAAGGAAAACATGTTATCCGTGCGATTTCGCGCCTAATCCAACTGGCGCACCTGGTCTCGTCTATCGCCGTTGAAACTCGCAACGATAACGACGACACGTCGTGGATTTTTCCCGATGTTGTATCGAACGAAACTGGTTTAGAAACCATTCAGCCGCTACATTGCGTTGCATGTTCATCCCTTGAACAGCACATTTTTAAATTGAGAATCTGACTCAGCCCATAGGGTATCTGGCGCGTGTACAAAACTAAAATGGTGGAACTCGTGTTGACATGAAAATGGGAAGAATGGGACATTATGGATATTCAACTGTTACCAGACTTTGCGAATTTTGGCAGTTGAGAAAATTTGGTGCTTGACTTCGAGATTTGGGGATTTTGGAATTTAAAAATTTTCAGGACTTTGAAAAAATTTGAAGTTATTGAAAATTGAAACTTTTAACATTTTTAATTGTGAGACTTGGGGATATGATTTTAGAAATAAAGCAAGGTCTTTGAGACTTTCAAGTGTTAGAGCTTTGAGATCTTGAGGTTTTGAGGTTTTGGAACTATGTAATTTTACAAATTCAAGAGCTTGAGGATATAAGGACCTTGGTATTTTGAAAATTTGAGATTGAAATTTTACAACTTTGGAATGTTAAGACTTTGGATTTGTTAGGATTTGAAAATTGTTGATAAACCTCAAGAATTTGGAATTTTGGAAGATATGACTCATACTAAATCCGATAACAAAAAAATTCTAATGTACCTTCATCCCCTATTTCAACATGTTTATTTTCCTCAATGACCATCCAATCCCCAAACAATTTTTATCAGATCGTAGCGCTAGAAATCAGTTTAATTCATCTGAAGGGGATGTAGGCGCGTTGTTGGCAAGTTATCAGGGGTTAGACGAACGAGCGAATGTTCGCACAGTGAATGTGGGTTAACGAAGGCAAAAAGGAAAACAGTTTTCGCATCAGCGTTTCGGCATTTAGCGGGCGCCACACAATGGGACGCCGTCGAATGAAAACATTCGAGCCGACGCCGGCAGAGGAACGGAGAAAGAATACAGAAAGCGAAACGAAGCGGCAGCAAAGAGAAAAAGGGCTTCGAAAAACAGAGGGACGGAAATAGAGCGAGGCAACGCCAATACCGTGTTTCCCTCGCCGCGCCCGTTCGCCGTGCAACTGGGGAATCCTAGGGCAGAAACTATTTATTTCCATTCGACAGCGTGCCGCTTATGTTTTAATTTCTTTTTCTTTTTTTTTACCTATACCGACGAAATCTGAAGCGTTGGTTACGCGAAACACCCTCGGGGAACGTTCCAAAAACGAGCTCGCGATTCCATCGTACACGCGATCATCTTCGTTGCTTTTCGATTGGATGTTTCGATTAAAAATATTGGTTCTTTGTTCCGATGCTTGTTTTTGATATCGCAGCGGGGTGAAATGCTCCCGTAGGAGATTTTAAAAATGAAACAGAACAGATATTCCTATGATAATTACAGAAAATGAAATAAAATGTTCATTGAGGTAGGTCTTTTTCTGACGGTATTTGAACACTGATATTTATACATTTATCTATTTTTATTTCGAGCTTTTAGAAATATTGACTTGTGTACACGTATTGTGTGCATGTTTATTTGTTAAAAGAAAATGTTGTGCACACTATAAATCTACTTGTACATTAGAATAAAAAGATGCGAAAGAAGTTGTTTGAAAGAAATGATATGGTCGTAAAGTTCGTACTTTAACATATGAGCTAAAAGAATATATCAAATAATACATTCTGAGTGCTACCAATTACAATCCGATCAGTGCGACCCAGTATTACTTTTCACATTATCACCTAATAGCCTTCAGATCTGAATGAGTCCTCCAACCAACCGATCTAAATTAGTCCTTTAACTGCCTATTGATGCGAATGATCCTCCTAATAGCCTACCGATCCCCAATTAGTCTAAGTTCTGCGCAAACTCGAAATTCTGTCAGTAACCAGCCTACAGAGATTTAGCTAGCAGGGAGTTAGACAATGTTCAAAAGAACTAACGACCGAGATATCTGGAGCGAAGCCAGCATTCTCAAATGCAGGCTGCGTGAATTTTTCCAATGGGCTTAATTAAGTCGCGTGGCCGCCACGCAATACCCTTTCCTTGGCTTTGTTTCTCATCGAGAATATCCACAGCGGAGTGCATTCGAGCAAGCGTTCTCTCTGTCTGGTCACCGTGTCCATTCAATGGCGCTTAATACGAGCCGGCAGGATAAACGTGCAATCGCGTAGCACCGTGATTATCATGGAAACATCTGTAAACTCTCGGAGTAACAATGATAATTGAATGCGTTAGGTCCGGCGAGCAGAGACAGAGAACGGGTCTTGGTTGGGCCAGGCGCACAAGAGAAGCGCACGCACGCGGTGCACACGTTCCGACGCATTACGCATAATTAATCCGGCGATGCTTATCTCTTCTAACCTTGTATCAGCGCGCTCGCTCGCGTGAATAGAATCTGCTCCGCACGATCCTCCTTTCATCGACGTTGCGGCTACGTTCTCGTCTCTCTTCTCCTACCTCTCTTCTTGCAAATTCTTGTTAAAAATCGACGAAAACGCTCGCGATAAACTTGCTCGCTGATCGTTCAATCGTGTCACTCGTCGAGGTTTTGATTTACGAGTTCGCTCCGAGACCCTGCTATCCAATTTGACTTGCTTTGATTTATGAAGCCGTGCATGATTCTTCTAGTTGGAATTTCATTTCTCATGTGTCTCGAGGAGGAGAACGATAGTTGACTTTTCTCGCTTTTACAACTTCTTTCTCAGATGTATGATCCATTCAATTTTAGCGTACAAGTTTCAAGAAGCCAGATTTCGTATAATCAAACTTTTGGCCATTAGCCTTTTAAATCTGGGAGATGATATCGTTGCATGTAGGAGAGACGTGCAGACGTCTCAAGTCATTGCAAAGTTATTGAGATTGAGCTGTCTGGTAAGATCCAGACAGTGCGAAATACTATGATACTACAGTGATCAGTGTTCTGTCTCCATTTAGACGGCATTTAAACTAGCAATTACTCTGTACCTGAATTACTCTGTAAATCGAAGAATGAATTAATAAATTCCAGTGAAATCTACAAATTTGACTATATGTTTAATGAAGAGAAAACAGGAATAAGAGATAAACGCATCGAACAAAGAATTCGCGTGCACTTGCGCTTTCTTTCGCCGAACCTTATTGTCCGCCTCGGTCGTTCGAGCTAATTACATTCCCACGAAACGCGTACGCGACCAGCATAATTGCGATAAACGTGGTGACAATGCGATTCCGATCTCGGAAGTTCAGCGAGCACAGAGAATCCCTCGGCTCGCGCGTATTCGATACAATTGGATGGCTACCGGAGTCAGCGTAATCTCAGCCGCCCGATTTTTCCCGCCAATGAATGCGATTCCTTGGAAACGAAGCCGGCTCTCGGAGAACCGACTGGCTTTCGTATTTTTTGAAGATCGGTAATCGAGCTTGGTCGAACCGCTCGCAGAACGCATTCCCGACGATGCGGTTTTCTTCGCCGAGAATTCTGAGAATCCACCATCGCTTATCGACCCGTCGCATCGTTTCGCCCCGTTTCGATTCGCGGACCGATCCCCGTTCTATTTGTCCTCCATCTTTTTATTTCCTCGATAACGATAAGTAAAAGTGGAGAACGATAATTGAAGGGAATGTTCTGAATATTTGTATGAAATGAGATAGGAATGGAGGAACATTTTGACGAATGGGGACAGCTGAGCAAAGAAAATACACCTGCTAGAATACACCTGCTAGATAAATATTGAGATTATCAACATTTTGTTGCAAATTATTAATTGTAGAGTCAGTCTTTAATTCAATGAGTATGATGTTATCTTGCGATGAGTATGTCTAGGTACACTATTGTTAACATGTTTGCTGCATGAACTTCAACAAAACGGACGTAGTTGATTAAATAAGATCATTTTTATTAAAAAATGATAGATGAGAACGAAAATTTATAAATTCATGTCAAGTGCAGATGGCAATGTATTTACAGAGTGTATATTTTTGTCTTATTTTTCAAAGAATCATCTCTTTTTCGGTTTCACTAGTACATCGCATACAAATTCTATAAAACATGTCGCAGTGTGAAAATAACAGACATGCAATTTTTCCTTTGTGAAACGAATTCCAGTATTATTTCCTATGCCCATGACAATG